GCACAATGCCGTTAGCTGTACTCACTGGCTTGCTGCAGCTCGCGGTAAAAACTGCAGCTTTTCCACCAACATAGTCTTCTAGTCTCCGCCTGAGACGGGCTTCTTGGCTTCTGACACCATGTATTATTGTCTGTTAATCCATGTTTAGACAATTAGGCATGGGAGACAGTAGTAGCTCTTATAACACGCTTTTATTAACAGTTCCCTTCAGCCCAGGTCCGCCCTTCTAATTGTTGCGGACAAACACCGAACTTACTCTCTCTCCGCCCGAGCTCGTTTGATCCTCCCACGTTGACCTGGTACCGAGGTGAAAAATATAACATACAAGTACTTTTAAAGGTTCAAACCTCCTTTAGTATTTTTTTAATAAAACAGATATGATAAGATACAGTATTGTTTAAAAGCATAAATGCGCATTTATGAGACAGCCATACAACCTGGTCAAAGGTGCACTCAGCTGAGCTGGCAGGCGTCTGTCTGATGAGGAGACTCGCTGCCGTTTTTACCATCTCCCTCACTCAGAGACACACACGATGCCCCCTCCTCAGGAATGCAGTTCTAAACYGATCTCAACCGTTTTCTCCCACAGATTCCTTCAGCTTSTCTRCAACTCATCACCTCGTTGTCAAAAAACTTCAGCTTCTTAACACAAAATACTGCTGAATAAACTTCATGCAAAAGTGAACAATATCTAATGTTGATTATAGAACTTAAGAGTGTGAGTGAATAATACCTAAATTTAATTATAAAACTAAACAATACCTAAGTTTGATTATAACATAATCCGTCCCACCCCCAGACATGCACCAACACATTTGTTCCTATTCACATCTCACATTACATCAGGTAGCTTAAAAATTTTTTGCAGAGTAAAAGAACAAAATAAAAACTCGGTGGACTGATTTGGCATGATGTCCTGAGACGTTGCAGCTGATAGGAGTCATAAAACAGAACAGGGGGACGTTAGATGCCCTGACACCCCTCTAGATAAATGAGTTAAATGAGTGAAGGAAAATATGAGCACCAAGCAACAACCCTAGGTTCTCCCCCGAGAACCAGACCAAACATTTTATGTGCAACCCTGATGATAATTAAGGGTCAATGGTCCTGGATGAGAAGTTTTTCGCAGATGAGACAAAACGGATACATGTGAATTTGGAACTTCTGAATTTTAGGAAGCAAATCCACTCGTTTTGTTTGTTACCTGCTGGTTGAGTCGTCAGCAGGCATCTGCTAGACTGGAGAAGAGGAGAGAAGTGTTCATGAGCCTGTTGTGTAWGTCCAACTGACCTCAGTGTGTTCACATTGAGATCTGCATCGGAATACCGCAGGCTTGTGTGCATGATGAGAGGGGGAGTGGGTTTGGGTCAGGCAAAAACAACTTTCACATGATTTTGGGGTATTGGGCCACATAAAACATGGTAAAAATAAAATAAACAAAAAAAAAAAAG